CCTGTTAGAGGACTGGGGAGGGGGAGGGGGGAGGCGGGAGCACCACCAAAGCCTTCCAGGACGTGTCGCGGTCACGGGTGGGAGGTCAAAGGTAATCCAAGGTTTGTCCTCATAATACACGCCGAGCACGTCTTTCTCTCTCTCTCTCTCTCTCTCTCTCTCTCTCTCTCTCTCTCGCTCGCTGTCCCTTGCTTGCTCTCCCTCCCTCCTTCTCTCTCTCTCTATCCTTCTTTCGCTGTCTCTCTCTCTGTATATATATCTTTTTATTATCTATTTCTCAAGCTCCTTGAAGCTATTTCTCTCCAATATGCACAAACACCACACATTACAAGTAATGCATCAATTACAGATTAGAAAAAAAATAACGACTCCATTGAACTAAACAGTCCTCAACATATCACAAACTGCTCATTTTTTACATCCAACTATTGGGTCAAACCCAAGAAAAGGGTGTTGGAAAATACACAATAACATACTGCATGTAGCCTATAGTATAAGGATCAGAAAGTCAAACCACCCAAACAAATGCTAAATTTGGTCAAAGTAAAGTTAGATCCCCCTATTTCAAACAACTAAAACTATTGCAAACCATAAGTGGTCACAGGGGTGGCAGTTTTGTCTTACTGGAACAGGAAACAGTGCACTGTGATCAAAGATTCTTTACTAGAACAGCTCTAGGAGAGAATCTTTGCTGTGATCGCCATGATGCTTAAAGATTGGGGGATTGCACTTTACTCTTGCCAATTCAGCAAAATTTAAATTTAAAAAACTAAATGAATACATATGTATTCGTTGCCATAAGTCATCATAATCATATTTTTGATTAACATATTCAGAACATAATTTGATGTAGAACATAATATGGAAATTAAATTGGATTTACACCAGAAAATCACTAAAACCAAGCAGATACAATATCCTGTGCTGCATTAACTAAATATTCATGAATGTTTGAAAGTATCATTACCTGCTAGGAGTTTTACAAACTGTATTTCTATACAGTTTGTTGCAGTCATTCACAGTTTCTCAAGCCACAGACAAAAAATACATGAGCTTAAACTCAAACAGTTCACACAGTCGAAACGTTTATTCTTTTATCAAATTATGATCAATAAAATAGGCATTACAATACTATGGAAGAGCTAAACACCACTTCAACTTGTAAAAGATTGCACATCAGACATAGTTTTAAAACAAAAACTTCTTACAACTATGGATGCCAAATCTTCGAGATAAAGGTTATCAGCTAATGCATTCATACATGGATTCTTTCAGCTCCTCTTGGATATTTTTACATCTAACTTGACATAGCAGTGACATCGGATGAAGCCAGTTCCAAGCAATATTTTGCTATTGATTCAAAACGATAACTGCATAAAACATTCACATACATCAGTGGAATAGACACAACCCACTCTTTCATGAAAAGTCACACATAGTAAGTCAAGCATGCATATAGTGCACACGCACATAGCGAACAGATTTCCAGGTCTCAAATTTTTTCTTACAAACACACAGAAAAAAGAAATTGCGAAAAGAATTCAAATCTTGCACTTGCAAGCTAATTTTCCTTAGAGAATTCATTCTTTTTCTGGACGACGCATACATCAAGGAAGAAATCATCAGGATAATTAATTTTCATCGAAGTTATTATTTTTGCACAAAAATACCCATCACAAGTTGAGCACCCGAATTTTCAAATTCACAAAATCAGCACTGTCTGTGGCTACTTGCCACACTGATGACTTGTCGATGCATGGAAAAGACAGGTTATTGGACAAACACCCCCCCCCCCTCCCCCAAATCAATTTAAAAAATGCACTTTGAGTCTGAGAAATGTCGGTTTCTCTGTTTCCATTATCTTGACGAGCGCCAGATTTCATGACTATGCATCACAATCACATTACATGTATTTTCTTTGTATTTAAAACAAAGCTAAATTCGAACATAACGAAAACATTTCTGGGTCCCATCAATTTTGCTATGTGTATGTTAGACTGTATATTTGTGTGTCAGGACATACATACATAAATGATCATTTCCACAATGCAAGTGTAAGTGTAAGCAAAGATAAAAGATATCTTAAAATTTCTTTCCAACAGCCTGCACGTGTGCCGTTAAAATATTGAATATCCTTTGCTTTTTTTTGTATACCAAATATATATATTCAGCAAATAACTAATTTCTTTTAGAATGAGGCTGAATACAACAGCTTCATGAACTAGCATATCTTTACTGAGGTCAATTAAAATGAGTCCTAAAAAATAGTGACAACATTCAGTTGAGAAAATCACCAAAAAAGTTTTAATGTTAAGAAAAGTAACTATGTTAAATGGTTCAAAATTATTGTCGTTTCCCTTGTTGTCATTCCCGAGACCATCAAGAGTGTGAGGGTTAACAAAAATATGCCTCAGATAAGTTACGTTCTTTTTGAGTTTGTATTGCTACAAGTAACATGACAGTGTATACATTTAAGTGAATACATATTACAGAGGAAAATCAGTTTGTAAAAAGCAAATGCATACAGACGATACTTGACGAAACTGGACACTGTAAAGAAGGGAGCTACTCACACACACACACACACACATCTGTAGCTTCGTGATTTCATTATATGCAAAGAACAAATAGGAGAAAAAAAACTAGTCTATTATGATATCCAATTAAATCACATCTTATTGGAAAATAGTAACAAAAAGGTTTTTTTTAATAATTACATGCATAAATAAATTTGTCAGAATAAATAACTATTTTATCCATTTTTTCCTCTTTGAGCATAAGTAATAGTTTGGGGTCAACATGAACGATGACCAACTAAAGGTAAGAAAAAAATAAAGAAAATTTTTCACATCATGAAAAGATGAAAACTACTGAGGTTAACAAAAGGAAAGTTCACCACTATCCTATGAGCTGAAGATACCAGCAACTTTGATAACCTTCCAGAAAGCATGTGTTTTTAAATCCCAAAACAAACAATTTATACATCTGATTCCTTTGGGGCAGACAAGTCTAAATATTCAAATCAAAACTGAGAAAAGTTAGGACATCCATAACAGCAAAATAATTAGTGAGGAGGAATCTTTGACATCTGCAATGCCATTTGAATTAAAAGCCTAGTATCTAATAAATCATGCTACAAATTGGAGTTAAAAAACACTTTCAAAGTTATACCTTCTGTTCAAATTGAATTCTATAGGGAAGTACGTAGTAATAGTGTCTAGGTGGTCCCCAGTTGAGGAGCACGCAGCCACCATGGCTCCCGTAGACCCCAATCTATCATCATGTGTCTCTCAGTCTTGTTCCCTCCACTTTACACTCTAGTATAGTCCTGTAGAATAAAGAATGGCATTTTGTGTGTTCGAAATACTGTAATTTTCTTGTTTTTATCTGTTGTAACAATTCTGGACTTGTGCTTAGAAGGTGGCAAACTTATTCATTCGTTTTTCTCGGCGTCAATCTATATACAGTAAGCCCATAAAGTCCTGACATTGCATTGTGACTTATTTTTCTCTAAGTGTGTTTATTTCCCATTGTGCGCTGGGTTACAATGTGAACATGTCTACTGATGCACACTTGCTGTGTTTTGAAACTACAATAAAATAGAGAAAAAATAGGCCACAGTGCAATGTCAAGACTTTGTGGACACATTTTATATTTGCATAAGGGGGCCCACTTGGCAATTTTCGGTCGCCTAAAATTCCAATACCACCTAACCGTATGACTTCAAAATTTACAGGGTACATTAGCGGTGGTTGAAGAGTGTACATGGCACATATATATATTTATAACTTCAAATTCTTCTTCAGTTTATTTTTTTGTTTTTAATTGTTCCACAAGTGATTCATTCTTTTTCTCCATTATCAAAATTTTTAAACATGTCTGTTTCCCCTTTAAGCACTGCGAGAAATACCAGTTTCTGTTTTCAGAGTATAGATCTAGACCTTCTAATTTTTTGCATCTCTGAAGATTTATTGCTCCATTCCAGTAGACTGTAAATATAGTAGGCCAATGACTTTCAGTCGATGTGCACTCAAACAGTTTTCCTTCTCTTTTCTTTAATAGCTGTTTAAATTCAGAGAAGCTTTTCAAAGTTTGTCCGACAGTAATAGCTAAACTCCTGTCATCTTCCATTGTATCTTCTGGGAAGCATTGGACCCACTTATTACTTTCTTCAAAAAATTCAACCAGTGGTCAGAGGTCACAATCCAACATTTTAGGGGAGCACCTTGCCACCATGTCTAGGTACACCTAGACACTTCCATTATATAGGTATTTTCACTTAAATCATATCAATAAGAAAATTGATAAAATACAGCATCCCATACACCAGGGTTATGATTCAATCAATAACTGAACATTACAAAAGTAAAATCAAACAGCAATATCAACCTCCGAGAGATATTTGTAGATTTCACAAGTTTAAACAACAACTGGAATGGCATGCATGTTTACACAATATACAAATAAATTATATCTTTTTCATTATCAAGTGTCAAGGAATTTTACTCATAATCTGAAAGACATATATATATTGCAAACAGTACCGCCTTGTTTAAATAACAGAAAAAAATATAATCAGTTCACACAATAAACAATATCAGCTACAAATTTTGCAGTAAGAAGAAAGATTTTTTTTTTAAACTATATGCAAATTCTCTAGCATTAACTCACTGAACCCTGGATATTTTAGGGCAGCAGACTATCCTATCCTGATCATTTTCGGAACATATCAATGACGATCAAAGTTGAGGGATAGAAAATTGGCACAATATTGTACAATCCTCTTAGAAATGTTTGTAATAGGCCAAACTATTTGCTTCATATTCGATATTTTTGGGGGGGTGATTTTAAAAATTCCCCATGATTTCTACTTTCCTAAAGAGACCAGAAGCTTAACAGTAAATACTTATAGACAACATGGTCGGTTCACTGCTTATTCAGCGCTCAACATGTTTGAATGGCAGGAAAGGAGCGTATAAGAACAAAATTGTATCATGATTATGCAAGACATGGGAAGTTCTTAACGTAATGCAAACAAATCTAAACATTTCTCCTGAGTGTATATAATTCATATGCCCCCTCCATTCCTGCGCGCACACACACACAAAGAGAACATACTGTCTCAGGGCATACACAGCTGGTAAACTTGTAATTGTGTAATACCAACCTCAGGTCAAGATAAACCATGACCAATACATTCGGCACTTACAAGGAAAGAACACCGAACAACCCACAAAATTGGGGATGTCCACACAAAAAAAAGTAGATGCATTACAGACAGTACAACAGATGTAATGGTTTTTTATACAAAACCATAGTGTAATTATTGCACCAGTCTTTTAATGTTTCGTAGACTTTTTTTTCTTTGGTGCTAAAAACAATTCCTCCTCATTTCCAGAGCCAATGCTTTCAGAGTCACTGACAGTGGGCACTTTCTTATAACCGTTGGCTGCTTTCACTGGCCCCTCTGTATTATCCTCCTCTGAGCTGTCCTCTGTGCGAGACTGGAATCTCCTCAGTGCCCGCTTCACCGCCAGCCTCGCCTGACGTACCATTTCCTTGCGGTGTCTTTGTCGCATGCGAGACAACAATATGCTCAGCAGAACATTCAGCAGAAGGCTGGCTACGGCAATAACAGCCAAAATTGGCACACTGGTGATGCAAAATCTGTGGGAGAGGAGCATACAGAGAAATGGCAACATAATTTTCTTAATACGAAATTCTAAAAAGGGAAGCAAAAAAAACATAGGCCTACTGAAAAGTCAGGATTTAAATAAAGAAGTCACAGAAACAATGGAGAGAGAGAGAGAGAGAGAGAGAGAGAGAGAGAGAGAGAGAGAGAGAGAGGGAGAGAGGGAGAGAGGGAGAGAGAAAGAGAGAGAGAGAGAGAGAGAGAGAGAGAGAGAGAAAGAGAGAGAGAGAGAGAGAGACTCAGAGAGAGAGAGAGAGATAAAAATAAAGAAAAGAAACTGGAGATAACAGCAAACAAAGTGGCTAAAGAAGTAGAAATGAAAAATACTGAGTTGGAGAAATGAACCAAACAAGATAACCTGGAGAGATATTACAAGAACAAGAGAGAAAGGTTTACATCCTCAAATAATCTCTCACTTTGCTGAAAGGGTAATTTGACTTTACGATTCACTGCAAGAAGTAAGAAATCATGTCAGAACATTTACGATCAATTCACTTTTCTGCCAGCAATCTAGCTGTCACTTCACTCTTTACAAATCATATCTATTCAAAAGGTTTAAATAACTATTTACTCACTATAGCAGACCCAACTAACATACCCCCCTTTCCCCTTAAATTCCCCTGTCCAAGACAGCAAATGTCTAAGATGCAATTTTTTTCTGGTTCTTAGACAGGTTCAACTGTATAATATAATGCCCCTTATATTTCTTCACTAAAACAATTATTAAAACCCTTTGGCAAGTGCCTGTTTTTTACTTACGTGATTTGCTGTGTATTTTGAGGCACCAGATTGAGTTCTCGCATTCTCTGATTGGCCAAACATTTCCCAGCTTTGGAGGTTGAACCAGATTTTAAAATAAACAGCAAAAGAATACATTATGAAACATTTAAAATATTCATAACTTCATTTAAACTGTTTAACTCAATGAAAAAAAATATAACAAGAAACTACAAAGACACTCAAGATAAACCTTGCAAGGGGTGAAAGATTCATTTTCCGCAACCATTCAGGTAGTACTTGCAACAGCATTTACAACTCAGCTACAACATGAGAACATTAGTCATTCTAAGGTGGAGGAAAAACTTTAGAGGATCCTATTACAGCTTGAAGTGAAATTATAACTTCCAGATCAAGGTATTTTTATTTTTTAAAAGGCAGATAACTTAAAAGTTTTAAAACAAAGTAGGCAAACTGGCTTTCTTATTTAAAAAATTGTGCATTTTCTCATGATTTGTCCAGCTGAGAAATATATTATGAAATAGCAGTGTAGTTGCTCGAAAGGAAAATAACTTAGCATTGAAATCAAATGTTTGTGGGAGTATGATCCAAAGGTTTGTGCAAGATATCAGATATTATATCATCAAGGTAGTTATCTAAATGCTTGAGTTAAAACATTTTGGTAACTTAGTTATTTTTTACCAATTTTTCAATACTGGGGGGGTGGGGTAATCCTTTAGTGTACATGAAGATCACAAAGCCTGAACTATTAAAAATAGTACTTTCATAGCAAAATTTAAACACTAAAATGCAAAGCTTCCAAGAGAAGCAAAAACTTTTGTTTGTCTCTCCTGAAAGTTTTTTTTCGGCAGATTAACACATTTAGAGAATTAAATCAGTTATAAATCCCTCTCAGAGAAGGTTTAAAGCATGGATGAAAATTTGACTGCTGTTTTTTCTAAAATAGAAGCCAAGATGTAAAGTTTGAGGTTACTATGTCCCCACCTTTGAGATAGTCCCCATCAGGCAAAGAGACATTGCAGAGGCCAGAGACGTGGTGGCAGTAACAGCTACTGTTGCACCGACACACTTGGCTACAGCCAACACCGTAGAAGCCAAATGGGCATGCTGGGAACAAAAAAACAATTAAACAACATTCAGTTGAAAGCAGTAGTGACCAATGAAAACATATATAAGACATAATGGGCTATATTTATGAGGCAAAGAGTCAAAGATAAAAAGCAGAAAATCAAAAAGCAAAAATAGAAAGAAAGAGACAGACAGATAAGGGGAAAGGGGGGAGGGAGAGGGGAGTTTACTTTTAGTTAAGAGAAGCACATCGGTGTAATAATTCAGTGCTAGAAAAAGCTAGATGAATAGACAGATGAGACAAAGGACAGAGGAAAGGTAAAAATGTAGAATCTACCAGTGATCTACCAATCATCCACAGAGAGCGTGAGAAACAGAGGGAGAGAGAGAGAGTGAAAGAAAGAGAGAGAATGAGAGAGAGAGAGAGAGAGAGAGAGAGAGAGAGAGAGAGAGAGAGGGGGGGGGGAGGGAAAGAGAAAGAGAGGGGTACATTTGGCTAAGGAATTATGAAAAGCTTTTCACTAACAAAATCCCTGGCCCTATTTTATTTTCCTCTTATGAAATTCTATTTCATTCCATTATGTATTTTCACATAATATCGTCATTTCAGTGGTAAAATAATTTAGAGTTTATTCACTTTCGTCTGTCTATTGTAAAAAAAATTCTAGCTCATTTATTAATTTATTAAAGTGTCGTGTTGAGAAAAATATGTCAACTTTTTAATGTGCTGTTAATCCTCGATTATTTTTTGGACCTGTTTTAGGTCAACATCAAAGAAAACATATCGGAACCTGAGTTTGCAATGACCTTTATGAATGGGCTGTTAGAATCTGTTGTCATCAAATTTTTAGATCCTTATACAAAGATTTCAGAAAATTAAATAAACCAATTTCATTTTTCCTTTCTCTAACCTCAGTCAGATGAAAGTGAAAAAGCTATAACCTGAGACTCTATAAGAAGGGTTATGCCGAAAATAGTAAGTGGTATTTCTTGCATTGTTTTTGAGGCTTTACTTACAACTGTTTTGTCATTCAAGTACACCAGTTTCTTGATGCTTCCACACCTTCAAAGTTTGGAAACTGACTGGAACTTTAATCGCTTCATAATCCAAATCATTTGAACAAAACACAAAGGCGTCCATAACGAAGGATTTTCTATAAAAATTAGTGGGGGGCGGGGGGTTTACTTACCTGACTGGCAGTACTTGCCGGAGAAGCCAGGTGGGCAGTGGCAGGTGCCATTCGATTTGTCACAGCTTGCCCCATTCTCACATATACAAGGGAGAGAGCAGTTGAGTCCGTATGTGCCTTCTGTACATGGTATAGAGCAGTTACCTCCCTGCCAGCCTGGCAGACACACGCATCCATCTATAGAGGAAAGGGAAATAGTCCATACATAATACTTAAATAAGGAATAGATGGTTGGGGCGATGCCTTTCCACTGAAACAAAATTTGGAGCATTTTTTTTTTAACAAGCTCCACAAAAGCAGTATGCAAGTACAATGGCAATATTTCTGTGGGTTAAATCCAAACTTTAGTACAAAAAATTACATAGCTATGAAAAGAGAATTTTTTCACTTTTTTCTTTAAACACCTGCAGCCCATCACTGTTGAACCCTTGGCAGACTCAGCATAAAAGTCATTTGATTCTCTTTACAGTAGATAGCCACATCTAAAAAAGAGATCTAGAAGTAGTATTATGACTCTAGTAAAGTAAGCCTATACCGAACACAGAAGTAAGAGAAATTTGGGAGTCTGAAAAAATGTGACCAAGTGGTTGAAACTACTGGCAATTAGACTTTTTGGTATCCGCTATACTATAAGGTTTCTACGCTCAGAAATCTTCATCAAATTCAGGCAATTTGCTTTTATCATCAAGCACAACATTGCATACATTATTCAAGCACAAATGTCATCCCCAATACCCTTCAAGGAACTCACCCTAACATTTTACCTGACATGCCTAGTTAAAGACAGAGGCAACAGTGACAAAACACTATGATAAAAGTTAGAGTACAAGCCATGGGAAAATATGTCAACAGGAAATGTAAAGTAAATAAAATCACTTTGGTATGACTTTACGGTAATATGACAACTTAAGAATATTGATAGTATGGTATATGACATAATCTACAAGGTAATAATATGACAACTTAAGAATATTGATAGTATGGCAATGAACAACAGTCAGTCAAGAACATGCCTTCCTGATTTTCAGACAGAGGACAGTACATGGGTTAGATCGGAAGAGGAGAAAGGGCAGGCTCTTTTGAACAGATACCTGCAGCAAACAAATCAGAACAATGAAAACGAAAGAACGAGCATTCTAAGGGATGTAGAAGGAAGATACTGGGAAGGAGAGGAAGCAAAGAGGTAAATGTCACATTGGAGGCTGTTCGAAATATACTTAAGACGGCACCTGACACAGCACCAGGCCCAGATGGGGTGTGTTATTCCCACATCAAGGATCTGGATGACCACAAGTTGGAGAGTCTCGCAAACATCCTGGATATTAGTTTGCATGATGTGTAGGTTCCACAAGATTGGCTGGACAGTTATCTAGCCCCCCTATCAAAGCCCGGGAAGGACCCCACAAAAATTGAGTCCTACAGGATTATCACAATGCAAAACACGGTGGGGGAAACTAATGGAAAAAATGGTGTCAAGATGGTTGTCCAATTTCTTGGAACGTAACAATCTGATACCTATGGAACTTGGCAGCTACCGCCCTGGTAAGACACCTGGAGGAATGTGGCAATTTTGGCCTCCGACATACAACGCTTTTGAGGAGGGAAAAGAGACACTAGTCGCCGCAATAGATCTAGAAGATGCTTATAACCGGGTGCCCTTTAGTTTGATCATGCGAACTATGATCAATATGAAAATCGACTCTGAATTGGTGATCTGGGTAGGAAATGCCTCGTTAAAAAGAATGGTTTCCTTGCGCCTTGGCAGCTGGGCTTCTGAACCTATTACCATAACCCCAGGACAGCCCCAGGGATCGGCCCTGTCACCAGTCTTGTTCATATACACCATCGGTCTTATGGCCAATCAATTGGAGGGACCTGGCCGTACGCTAAGCTTTGCAGATGATGTATTGGTATATAGGCAGGGGAGAGATCGGGAGCTGATTGCAAGGAGCATGCAGGAGGAATTAGATCGAATTGGTGAATGCTGCGAACAGAACAAAAGAAAACTTAATCCAGCGAAGGCAGGGGTACTGTGGACCAGTCTCAACAGGGCAGTCAAGGCTATCATGCCTACTGTCAATATACAAGGTACGCAGTTGGAAAGACAAGAGAAATTGAAGTACCAGGGCATTACCTTTGACCGCACCCTCTCGGCAAAAGACCATGTGATGAACATTATCACCAGAGCAAGGAAAGGACTTGTTGCACTGAGAGTGATGGCTGCATCTATGCCCCAACGCGCCCTTATGATCATGTTTCAAGCGGTTGTACTGTCTGTGGTGAACTATGGCCTTCGTATGCTCACCCTATCCAAAACCCAGCTACATCGCCTCGAAGTCATTCAAAATGACCCCTGGTCACGCCGGGGTGCACGGAAATGAGCGTGCTGATAAACTTGCCGGCAAAGCAGCACCCAATGGCCGAATCATGCTCGACCCACCAATGGTGATCACCAGATGCAAGGAGAGCCTTCACGACCAAGAGGAGACAGAATCCCACACACTCAGCACAATAAAAGAAAAGTGTGTGCGGGGCACAGCAAAAAAAAATTTGCTCCGAGGAGTGGTCAGGCGTGTCTCAAACCAGCTCCTCATGGAGACAATTAGCAGGAAGACCCAGAGGTGGACGCTGGAAAGGAGAGATGAGCAGCTATGGACATGTGCCGCCTGCTATGATTCTAGCTCTGGATCCAAGTAAATCCAAGATATGACATAATCTACAAGGTAATAATACGATAACTTAAGTATATTGATAGAACGGTATATGACATAATCCGATAAAATAAGGTCATTTAAGAGATAGAGACCCTCATTTTAATATCAATCTTAGGCAAAATCTAAATGGAGATGCATGATGACTTTTTAAACAATCAAAGTTCAAGAATATTTTGTTTCAGATTCAGATCAGTCCCTCACTCCACAGCTAAGAAAGATTTCAAATTATACTGATAAAAGATTCAGCCTTCGAGTCACAGTTGATACTGCATGACATTTCCCTCTACTGCGGATATTTAAGCTTGTTTTTCATTTTTCTGAGCTTGTGAATGATTGTAAATGCTCAACACCTCTATCAACACAATCTAAAACGCAAGCCGTTTCCACCCAGGCTGAACAGGATACAGCATCCCCTGCAGAGAGGCAGAGGCACTCAATGTCATTCATTGTTCATTGTTTCAGAAAGCAACATCCCTGCATTCCGGACATGCCTTTTGATGCTCCGTTGCTCTCTCTAAAATGTTGCCGAGGGTCCTTCCACTGATTGTGCCAGAGCACATCTGGCACTCAATGATATACTGCATATACTGTATATAAACAATACTTCAAGTATAATACAGAGGGGGTTATTGTATTTTGACTCCAAACTCAAAAATCAGATTAATTTTTCAGGACCTCACTCTTTTTTTAAATTATTATGGGCGAGTTCATACTATAAGCCGTCCTAAACCTGAAACAAAATCATAACTTCTGCATACAACAACTAAGAGCCTGTACATAACACCAAAGGACCAGTGCCAATAACTTTCCTAAGTTACAAATTCCAGACACAAAATAGGTCCGCCCCATATATTTAATTATTACCAGGAGTGCAGGTCCCATGTCCACTACAGTCAGCTGGGCAGAGCAGCTGATCACAAGCGTCCCCCGTCCAGAGGCCGTCACACCTGCATAAGCCTAAGACACACTCGCCATGCCCAGAGCAGTCCGAGGGGGAACACACTGGCTCGTGGACACACAAGATGGTGGACACAGCACGCGGGCAGTTGTACGAGCTGTTCACACTGAAACATACATGTCATGTTGTTGGTCAATTGCAGTAGAGTCAAAATAGTCTTTAGGTTTAGTAGAGGTTTTGCGTCGCTCGCAACTGCATAAGGTCAAATGAGCGCCAGAAGATTAGAGGCGTTACAAGAGAGTAACAAACATAAAAAAGAAGAAGGGGAGATTAGGAAGATAGATGTCTGATAGGAAAGAAGAAGCAAACCACACCAGAGCACCCATCAACCACCAACCAAAATTGTCTGAGATGGCCATCCAGTGTATACAAGAGAGTGTGCGAGAGTGCGTGTCTGTGAGAGAGTGTCTGTGTGTCAGTGTGTGTATCAGTGCGTTTCTACATTTGTCTGTGAGCGTTGTACGCGTGTTGTGAGTGTGTGTGTGTGTGTGTGTGCGTGCAAGCGCGCATGCGTGCATGTGTGCATGCGTGTGTGTGTGTGTGTGTCTCTGTACATATGTGTCTGTCTTTCCATCTATGAGTTTCCCTCAGTGTGAGTCCGTCTCGAGGTGTCTATTTGAGAGGCAGCGTGGTGGAATCAGGCTCTCGTCAATTTTTGGGCATATAGAGTTATTGGTATCATCTTAAAGCTTGTTCACTTGTCTTTATTTGGATGAAAAAAATATTCTTTTATCTTGAATACAAGTCGAGATATTTGTGAATGAAGGAGATGGGGGTCACCTCTTTCAAAGGTAAAATTTAGTGAGAAAATGGCCACCAAAGATTAGTTATTTCCTTAGCTTAAGAGTCTGTGGTAATTGAAAATTAACATTTTTTATGCGTTTAATCGGCGTTTTTCAGAAAAATCAAAACAGAAATGAGTTCTTTTAAGAGCATGAAAGGTGTTGAGCCAAAAAACAAAAGTACAGTCGAACCTGCCCTGACGGCCACCTCTATAAGACGACCACCTGTACAATCAAAGCCCGGGAAGGACCCCACAAAAATTGAGTCCTACAGGATTATCACA